TGTGTGTGTGTGTGTGTGTGTGTGTGTGTGTGTGTGTGTGTGTGTGTGTTTGCCTCAAGAGGAAGTCTCCCTTTCCGAAGCCCCAACCGGCCGATGTCAGTTTGGTCACTGTGGGACAGCTAAGCAGGCAGCTTCCCTCTCTTTCCAGAGCCCGGGTCCTCCCCCAGTCTGTGTGAGAGACGTCACCTGCAGAATGTTGGCTCATCTTAATCACTTCTCAGCAGGCTGGAAACCTTGCAGGGAAGGTTTTCCTGGACCTGAGCATCAATTAGCAAAGTAAATCAGGGCCAATTAAATAAAGGTTACACACAGGCCAAGAAAGAAATCACTTGGGAAAAGTCCTTACATAATCCTCCCCAAGGGAGGCTATTCCCCCAGATACCTGTGTATGCTGAGGTCCCTAAACCTACAAGAGGAGCCCCCTACTATGGGGTGTCACCAGTTGGTGGTCCCAGTCCCTGCAGGGCCCATCTGCCTCCTGGCAGAGCGTCTGACAACTGTCCCATAGAGGAAGCAAGGTTCCTTAATGCAGTGACTGGGTCTCTGCAGTGTCCATTGATCACAGCCTCTCTCTGGGAAATAGAGGAAGTCAGATGTGGTAGGAGAGGCCGCTCCTCAGGAAAGCAGGAGGACAGTGTCCACAGGGAAGAGGCAATCTGTCTTCCCTCTCTGTCTGTCCATCCATCCGTCTTCCTTCCTTCCTTTTCTTTCTTTGTTTTTTATTGAAAGAGGCATCTGAGCTTGGGTTGTTCAGGTCCTTTCTTTTTTGCCTGTTTTTTCCCTTATTTATTGGAGGAAAAAATCAGCTTAAGACAGCAACATGAAGGAAGGTGTAGCCAGGCATGGCAGCTCACTCCTGTGATCTCAGCACCAGAGAGGCTATAGCAGGAGGGTGGCCACGAGCCTGAGGCCATGGCTACAGAGTGGGGCCTAAGATGGCATACTCCTTTCTTGTGAGGGGATGGAGTCTTGCTGGGATGCTCCTGTGTGTGCACAGCATCAGTCACTTCTGAAATCACCGGTCCATCCTCTGAGCCTATTTAAACTCCCCAGGCTCCTCAGGTGCTGGGGAGGGACCAGAAGACCTTGGTTAGAGCAAGAAAACTTTGCAGACAGAGGGATGTCTGCAAAGGTCAGTGGTAGCGCACTTTCCTGGCACGGCCTAAGGCCTGGGTTCTAACGCAGCACCAGTTGGTGAGGAGGAACAGAGATGAGGGTGTTCAGAGGTTTTATCTTTGTAACAATAAGATAGGGTGCCGCCTTCCCCTCCTCCTCTCCCTCTACCCCTTCCTTTTCTTCTTATCTTGAAGAACTTGGTATGGAACCCATGGCCTCAAGTATGCTAAGCAAATATTCTGCCCTTGAGTTACATCCCAACCCCCAAATAACAGATGAAGGTTTGGTTTGTCTGTTTTGGAGTCTTACACAGTAGCCTTGAACTTGCAATCCTCCTGCCTTGGCCTCCCAAATGCTGGGATTACATATACGCAACACCATACCTGGCTCCAAAAGTCAAGTTTCTAATCCTGACTGTTGGGTCCCAGAAGGATGCTTTCTCTCTGGGGTTCACAACTACCCCTAAAATCTCCCAAGCCTCAATGAGAGTTGTTGAGCCCAGGTGACCATGAACTTGGGGAGTCCAGATATAGACAGGCCCTTTGTGTAGATGCGAAGGTCTTTGGTCTGGGGTGGGCACTGGAGGATCTGTATTGCCCTTGTCCTCCTCAGAGGTCTTGATAGCAGACCACATGTGGAATCCCTGGGTTAGATGGTTAGCAGGCCTTTTATGTTGACTTCTACCAACTACAAACTATTCTCAACTTAGACTCAGTTTTCAAACTGCTTACATACTGGTGCATATGCCTAGAACACTGAGCTGGCATTCAGTCATTAGGCAAGTAAACAAAGGGTGCTGTGTTAGACCCCTCCACTCCACCCAGTCCTGTCCTTCCCACTGGGTTTTAGAGTGTCAAGACAGCCAAGCTCAAGGCCGCTCGTCTCTTCCACACAAGTTCCCCCATCTGGGCCAGGCAGGGTCTCTGTCAACTTGACACAGGCTAGAGTAATTTTGGAAGAAGGGATCTCAGCTGGGGGAAATGCCCTCACCAGGCTGGCCTGTGGGCAAGTCTTTGGCCCATTTTCTCGGTTGACGATTGATGTGGGTGGGACCACCTCTGGGCTGGCGGTCCCAGATGATACCAGAAAGCAGGCTGAATAAGCCATAAAGAGGAAACCAGTAAGCAGCCTTCATTCTTCCAGGACCTCTCTTCCAGTTCCTGCCCCGCTTGAGTTCCTGCCCTGACTTCCTTCGATGATGGACTGGGATGTGGAGGTGGAAATGAAACAACCGTTTCTTCCCCAGGCTGCTTATGGTCACGGTGTTTATCGCAGCAATGGGAAGCCTCACTGAGATACCGATCTGTCCATTCCCAGACACGCGTTCTGTCTGACTTGCCGTTACACCCAGTTCTTTGCCCAAACCTCTTGCCAACCATTAGCACTCAGGGTGGGTTTGGCTGTTAAATACTCACTCATCAAACATTTTCATGGTGCTTTCTATTTGTCAGGCTTTGGCTTTTGACCCCAGAGCTTTGAAGAAAGCAAGGCAAGTGAGGAGTCCAAGGTACAAAATTTAAGGAGACTTCTGCTCGCGATGCCAGTGTGGGGCCAACCCAAGGGGCCTCCCGGACTTCAGTACCCCAGGCATTTGTAGGATGTATGAATCATCTGTTTGGGCATGATCTTCCTTCCCATCTAGGCTGCACAGTCTTATTTGATTCTGTCCCTTCCTTCTCTTCCAGTCCCACATCCGCATGCATTCTGTCTTGCGGTGTATCGCGCCCCCTTCTGCACTCTCCGCGCTACAATTCAGTTCGCGAGCTTCCGGCAAGGGGCTGGAGGTTGAGAAAACACACAGAGAGACAGACAGACACATGGACCTCCAATCACTGGTACAAAAGCCCTTCTTTAATAGCACCATGGAGGCTTAAATACCCTGTAGTCAATGGCCAACAGGTGAAAATCCCATCCTCTGATCCTCTAGGGAAGGCACAGCTTTTACTAACTCCAATTAGAAGGCTCTAGCAGGGAAGAACAGCTGAAGGCCAGGACTCCTATTGGTCCCAACACTGCCTAGTCCAATGTTTTCCATAAACTTGCCCCTGCCCAGCTGCCTGGGAATCCCTGGGGGCACTTGTTTTAAATGCAGCTTCCCTAGTCTCCCCAGTGAGTCTGCTTCTCAGAAGATGGAACTCAACTGCAGATAGCACTGGCGAAACTTGGGAAGGGGGGGTGCAACAGGACCACCAGATCACTGCTGACCCTGACAAATGCTAAAAGGAGATGGGTGGAGCCAGAAAGGCCTTCTTGTGCGTATTCATGGTTCTCTTTGTGAGGACAGAACTAGGAGGCACAGGTGGGGCTGCCCGCGGGGGCGCATGCTCCCCTCTGTAGAAAACTGTCCATCAGCACGGCCTTGAATCTTAGCTGAGCCTCTCGCTGCGTCTTCTGGGCTCTTCCTCAACCTCCTCTAACTCTTCCCACGTCTCCGCACTGTTTACCCAAGGAGCTGAGGGTGCCGCCACACAGTCAACAGCCTTGCAGCAGGGTGCAGCTCTCTGTGGAGTGAGTGGGTAGGTGGGTGTGTCTGCGAGCAGCAGGGGCAAATGAGACCGGTGGGAGGGTCTCTCAATCTGTTCATCTTGACCTCCAAGGCAGGTCCCTGTCATTTTCACTTGCTCCATACGGTATCCCACATAGATGCCCACATACGTTGGGGTGTCAGACACAAGCTGCTTAATGGTGATCTCTGGAATGGGACCAGTCAATTGTGTGAGTCACCTGCCAGCCCGGCTTGCAGGGTGGGGCATACCTCTGATTTCCCAACTCATCATTCCCTTGGCCGTATGGGCGTGAGAGCCTGCTGGCTGGCCATCCACACCCAGCAGCTGGCTCACCAGCGGGCTTGCGAATTGGATGCATGTCGACTTTCTTAGCTTGCTCTGAGAATCTGGAAAGGGCTGTGACAGCAAGACAGGACAGAAGAGGACATCTGGCTCAGAAGGCAATGTGGGGTAACCTCAGCAGCTGGGTCCTCGTCTCAGTGTCCCCACACAGCTAGCTGTTGATGGAGGTGTCCCACGGCAGGCTGTTCAAGCCGAATTCACTGTGACTTGTTCCGTTGGGGGAACAGAAGATTGCAAGCTTTCCTACACACCGCACCAGTATCACCTGTTGGGCCTTTAAAAACAGAGGCGCGCGCACGCGCGCGCGCGCGCACACACACACACACACACAAACATACACACACACACCATACTGTGAGTTCCCGGTTCATGACCCTAGGACCGCCTGTGAGGTTGTTTGCTTGTTTGTTTCTCTGTCAAGTCAGGGTTCTCTGCCCCCACCAATATCTACTTTAAATGTAAGGGTTGAGCCCTTCAGCTTGGCACAGCTGGAGCTGCTCTTCCCAGAGTGAAGGGGGACCAGAAGGCAAACTCACAAAGTGGAGATAAAGAGAAGCAGTTGCTCGTCCTCTCTGAAGGTGATCCAGGTCAGCTAGGGGACAGACCCAGAGGGCCATCAGGCTGAAACATGTCCATCTCTTATTTATTGGTGTCTCCAGCTCTCCCTACGTGCTCATTTGAGGGCTCTCGAGCCTCAGGCCCACTCCCACTGGGCTCAGCTCCTCAGGACCGCTCCTCAGCCTCCCTCTGTGGTCCTTCCAGAGATGAAGGTGCTCTCAGCTAGTCAGCCATACTGCCTGCCTGCCGGCTCCTTCTCCAACTCTGCCCTTTCCTGGTCTCCACCACCCAGCTCCTCCACCAGCCGAATAAAATTCCACTCCTGTGGGAATTCAAGAGGGCTCTCCTTCTCTGAACCCTGGCTGACCAGGCGAGACATGTCCCCCCATGTCCTAACATGGCAACTCGTAGGAGCTGGCTTTCCATCTGGATCCAAAGGAATGGTCAGAGGGTATCAGCAAGAGTGAAAACCACAGGGCAGTGAACAGGCCACCAATTCAGTTTTACCTTCAACAATTACAGGAAAATGGAAAAAACACAGTCACGGTAATTCATGCCTGTAATCCCAGGCTGAGGCAGAAGAGTTGCCATGAGTTTAGGTCAGTCTGGGCTCTAGGCTATACTAGAGTTTCAAGCAAGCCTGAGCGACAGAGGAAGCATACAAAACAAAAGTCTGAACAAGCAAAAATCTTAAAGAAAAAAAGGGATGTGGGGGAAGGCAGGAGAGAGAGAAGCCATGATTCCCTAAATTCTCAGAGGGTAGATTCCGCAGTGTGAGCAAAAGCAATAAAAGCCACCTTCTCCACCTGTCTCTTCCTGCCTTTCCTGTAGGCCGGGTCCTGCCCAGCTGTCCATGGCAGCATGAGGTACTGATGCTTCGTACCTAGTAACTCAACTTTCTCACTTAGGTACCCAGTCTTTAGCTTCCTCTCGGTGTGCTCAAGCACAGATCAGCTGTAAGGCAACCTCATCAAAGCGCTCCAGGGAGGGACCCGAATTCTTTGGCTCTGTGTGCAATGCTTTCCCGCCCCCGGGCCATGGGCAGCCGTGCTTCCTGCCCACCGTGTGAACAGGCAGCCTTTGCTGTCATTGCTGTAGTGTTACCGTGCATGTTACATCTCTGCCCACTAGACAGAGAGCACATTTAGAATGGTGTCCCTGACCTGGCCACCTTTGGATCCCTGGTGGCCAGCACTGCACCTGGCACAGGGAAGTGCGCGGTAAATATTTGTGAAATTGACTGAAGGAGCCATGCAGAGGTCACATCTGGTTTGGAAGGATTTAGAACCCTTGATTGTATTTCTGTCTCCACATGCATGTGTGTGTGTGTGGGAGAGAGAGAGAGAGAGAGAGAGAGAGAGAGAAACTGGATGCCAGTGACCACCCAGGATCTGCTTGGTCTGCGATGTCCTGATATGTGGTGACTGTCATCTGGCCACAGACCAGGTTAAGGTTGATGAACATGGAACACCAGAGTGTCCCTCTCTTTCCCACAAACTGTCTCAAGCCCAGAGAGTTACTGTCAACTGAGAGGGTTGTCATACCACATAGAGTCTCCGTCCTCCTTGGGGTAGCTCCTGAGTCATCCTCCTGTCCCTGAAGCATAGCCAGTATTTGAGTTGATGGGGAAGTCCTTACCAAAGAAAACCAATACTTGCAGTGGAAAATGACTTGTAAATCCTTGGTACCATGGTCGTGAATCTTGAGGAAGCAACAATTACACACATACCCTACACCCCACAATTCACTGGAAAATAAACCAACTTTAAAAAAAAAAAAAAAGAGCCACTAATTCCGGATGGAGGGTGTAGAAGTCCTTATCCCTAGAGACTGCCTGCATCCACTCCAGGGCGGGTAGGAGGCTCCACATCCTACATCTCCTGACCCTTGGCCCTCTGCGGCAGCGAATGGAACCCCTGGCATGCTGTCAGGCTAGGCCATGATGCAACGGACGTGGGTGACCAGAGGCAGCTGTGAAACTCTCTGCTCCACTTCTGCCGTTTACAAACCGTGTGACTAGGGACAAGCCAACATTTTTGAGCCTCCGTTTCCTCATCTGTGGAAGGAGTTTGGGGGAGTAGTTGCTTGTTGTGTGTGCACCTCTCATGGGGACACTGGGGACATGACATCGAATCAGATCATGTGAAAGCGCTTTAGGTGAGGGTGGGAAGATGAAGATTTGCCCCAACCTGAGAAGCAGCCGCCGTTCGCTCTGAGGGTGTTTGTGGTTACGCATAGTGACACAGACATGGAGGACCGGCAGGTTCCAGCTTGTCTCCCATCTTCTCCATGACACCTCCAGCTCCTCTGATTAATGAAAACCCAGCAGCCCCAGGCCCACCTTCAGATTCCGTGTGGCATTTGCATGTGGTCGGAAGTCACGTAGGTCAGAGACCCTTCAGGGTGTTCTCCTGGCTTCTCATAACATGTTAACCCACACTGTAACATGTGGGGTGTGGGGAGAAATGCTGGCTGAATGAATAGGTGTGAAAACAGCCGTCTTACTCTCCTGGGTGTGGGAAGGGACTGAAGTCAGCCAGGGGACACTGATAGGGCTTCAAATGCCAGAGAGAGTCTGGGGCTCGGCTGATATCTAGTTATGGGCACTCTGCAACTGCTGCTTGGGTCTTGATCAGGCTCTGACCCCTTTAAATGGCTCATAAAGGCACTTTAAGTATTAATGTGAGGCTGGAGCATAGCTCAGTGGTACAGTACATATTTAGTATTCTAAGGGACCCCAATTCAAATCCCAGCACCTCTCCAATAAAGAAAAAAGAAAGCCTTATGACAGGAAGATAAGGTGTGGCTCCTGGGCTGCCTCTGCTCTAGCCCGGAGCCTGCTCTGAGCGGTCTCACTGAACCCACAGAGGTCTCCTGTTGGCACCGCACACGTCTGGGTTGGAGGCAGCCATGGAAAATGGGGAAATCCGAAACCAAGACTCGACAGGACACCCTTTGAAAAGAGAGGGAATCTGTGCTCAGTTGTCTGTCAATTACGTGGGTCACTCATAATTGAGCTGGTCCCCGGCGCTCTGGGGAGCCATGCTGTCCTTACCTGGGTGCTGGCCTCTGTCCCGCTTCACCTTACCGATTCTTACTCATCTTTCAAGTCCTAACCCAGCTGCCATCCTTTCCGGTTTCTCTGAGTCACCGCGCTGCATGGTGAGGCAGGACTCCACCTTCGCACACCAGTAACAGCGGTTCTAGAATGAGCGTGGTTTTGTTTCACAGAGGGACATGGGGCAGGGTCTGGAGACATTTTTAGCTGATGCGACAGTGGGGTTGTCCAGACGTGCCACCGGGTGCTAGACATCCGGACATCCCAGATACACAGCCGGACATCCCAGATACACAGCCCAGCCACCCATACCAAGGAATTACCTGACTCCAAATGTCCACACTGCTGTGGGGGTAAGAGATCATCTCTCTGGGTCTCACTGAGACCTATGCTCGTGCTGAGCAATGGCCTTGTTGATTCAGCCTTTAGTCCCCAACACTATACACACAACTGAGAGCCCTGTGTCCCTCTCCCAGATACACTTACCTCAAGCTGTCTCGTCCGCTCAGTCAAGTATCGCGAGGTGCATCGTGAGCTAAGATGAGCACAGAGCCTTAGAGCTGCAAAGAGGAAAAGGTCATGAAGCAACCTAATTATTCACAAGACAGATGGAAGAGAAGGCCACAGAGGAGGACAGTGGAAGGCTTTGGGGGATTGGATTATTGAACCAAAAATGAAGCTGCTGACACCCTACCTTTTAATTGGGAAAACACTATTTTTGTGCAGTCCACCTTAAATGCGTCTCTGCCGCTTTGGCCTGGATTGGGGGCGGAGATCAGATGTCACAGAAGAAGGGGGTCCCATCCCCCCCTCCTACCCCCACCCCTGCCACAGTTCCTGCAGGACAGCCTTGTGTCTCTAAGCAGTAGTCGTTTTGATCGAGTGGCACTTAGGTAGGCCGGCTATGTGGTGGCAGTAGTAATGTAGCTCTTCTTCAGCTCTGGAGACTCTACAAAGAGCAGTGTTCCACAGGCAGAAGCCAGACATGCTTTCTTGAGGGTGTCAGGTGTGAGAAAACAGTCCCCGCAAACCAACAGGGGCCACAGCTTCTGGAAGCTGTGTGGTCATGTGCTACTGGCGTGTAGGGCGGCCTCACACTTATACCCACGAGCCATGGCCGCTTACTCCCCTCCTGTTCTGGGCAGTGGAGGATAAACATTTCAAAGCTGGACTTAGAACTTGGCCAAGCCTTGCTTTGAGTCATGTGAAAGCCAGAATAATCCAAAAAAAAAAAAAAAATCGAACTGCTTTCGAAGGGTCAGACGTGGGCAAGTCTGGTAAGAGGTCTGGCCAAGAGGCCGTCTACCCTCGTGGAAGAATCGCTGCCAGTGTGGATGTCTCCAGCGGCACCGAGTCTGCTGCTGCGTAGAGTCAGCCTCATCCGCCCCCACCCTACACTGCCCCATGCAGGTCTGGGCAGAGGAAGATGAGCACAGGTTGGTCACAAAGGTCCAGCCAGCTGCCAGTTGGGTCTGTAATCCTAGGCCCTGGTGACCCACACAGTGACAACAGACTCAAGTGGCAGGAAAGTGTGGGATCCACCGCGCTCCTCTCTAGGGGATCCCTAGGCACACAGGCAGCGCCTCTCCTCCCACATGAAGCAGGGACCCCTCAGGACGTCTGGCTGGGTGAATGGCACCGAGCGCTTGGATGTTGTCAGTGCTGTGGACTAAATGGTTGCCTTAAAATCTGGGTGCCAACTTTAAATGGTAAGGGTTGCTTTTAGTAAAAGAATTCAGGGTATTCCTTCCTTGGAGACCTTCCCACTCTTTAGAGCTCTTTTCTCACGACGCCTTAATAATTTGTTCTACTTTTGAAAAAGAAGTCACAGATGTAAAGTCTTTCTGCTATTTTATAACAGCATACATATCCTTATTAATATTGTCCTGTGGGAGGAAAGTGGCGGAAATTTGGCTGGTGTTTGCGGGCTCTGACTATTTAATGTTTACATAGAAGTGGGGTGACAATGGGGTGTCCACCATTTCTCCAGGGGGTGGTCACTCGGTCTCTGAGTTCTACGGTTTAAGGGCAGGGTGATGGTAAGGAAACCTAGGGCTTTCTGCGCGACAGGGGAGTGACCATAAAGGACCCCACCCACCCAAGCCCCTGAGCTTGACAATGAATTTGCTGTGCTTCAGATTCTAATCTGGGCATTGTCATGATATTTTGTTATGTTTTAACAAATAAAGCTTGCCTGGAGATCAGAGTGCAGAGCTAACCACTAGAGGCCTGGAAGTGGTGGCACACACCTTTAATCCCAGGACTGAGAGGCAGAGGCAGGGGGATCTCTGTTAGTTCAAGGCCATCCTGGGCTACAGGAGATTGAATCTGACTAAAAGAGAAACAGAGCTCACACAATGGTGGTCCCTGCACTTGGGATCACAAGCCTTTAATCCCAGCCCTAAGGAGGTGGAGACAGGAGTGATATGGCTGGGCAGAGAGGGGACTATAAGGCCGGAGGAGACAGGAGCTCAGTGCAGTCTGGGGTTTGGTGGAAGATGGAGCCTGGAGATGCAGTCTGAGGACAGGACCACTCTTTGGTCTGAGCATTGGTAGAGGTTAAAGGACTCTAGTGGCTGGCCTCTCTGTTTCTCTGTTCTTCAGCATTAACCCCTATCTCTGACTCTGAGTTTTTATTATTAACACCAATTAGAATTCGTGCTGCAGGCTCCAGGGCATGAGAGCTCACAGCTGTAATCCCAACTGTGGTGGTTTGAAGGAAAATGACCACCAAGGGAAGAGGCGCCGTTAGGAGACAAGGCTTTGCTGGAATAGGTGTGGCCTTGTTGGAGGAGGTGTATCACTGTGGGGATGGGCTGTGAGGTCTCCTATGCTCAAAGTATGCCCAGTGACACAAGGCAGTTCTTGTTGCCTTTGGATCAAGATGTAGAACTTTCAGCTCCTTCTCCAGCACCATGTCTTTCTGTGTGCTGCCATGTCCCACCGTAACGATAATGGACTAAACCTCTAAACTGTAAGTCAGCCCTGATTAAATGTTTTTCTTTATACGAGTTGCCCAGGTCATGGTGTCTTTTTACAGCAATAGAAACCCTAAGACACCAACTCTTGAGAATGAGGCAGGAGGATGGCTGTGAGTTTGAGGCTAGCCTGAGTCACAGAGTACATTCTAGGCCAATCTGGGCAACAGCGTGAGACACTGTCTCAAAAGAACAGAACAGGAGACTGGAGAGATGGTTCTGCTGTTAAGAGCACTGACTGTTCTTACAGAGGATCCCGGTTTGGTCCCCAGTACCTACTTGTTAGCTCACGACAACCCGTAAACGAGTTTCAGGGAACCCCATGAGAGCCCTGCACATACAAGGTATAACATACACATCAAGTAGACGCTAGTGCACATGAGCCAAACAAATCAATATGAAGAAAAACGTAAAAGAATAGAACACAGCAACAAGAGTGGATTCCACTGTGGTGCCATGACCGCGTAGCTACTGGGCGAGTCGGCTCTATGCACTTGTCAGTCTTCCCGTGAAGGTGCCGTTTCTGATCTTGGCACTACCGGTTTGTGATGAGGAGCTTAATGTATATAAAATTGAATTAAATCACTAATAAGAAAAGTGTCGTTTTTTTAATTGATCTTTTCATATAATATATTCTGATCACAACCCCCTCTAATCCCTCCTGGGTCCTCCCCACCTCACCACCCAGTTCCACCCTCTGTCTCCTCTAGAATGGAAAGCTTCATTTAACTTGTCTTTTTCTTTGCTGTAACTATGATAACTCTTAACTCAATTGGAGGTTCGGTTCTCAGCAATTTATGTAAAGCCACCAGTGTCTTCAGGGCAGGGACTCTACTGAAGGCTATGACAATGTTGAATGACTGTGTACCCCAGCAGCCATATGTGTGTATGTATATATACATATATATATGTGTGTGTGTGTGTGTGTGTGTGTGTGTGTGTGTGTGTGTGTATGTGTGTATAAGTGTTAATAGCCAGGTGTGGTGGTACATGCCTTTTGTTCCATCCTTGCACTTGAGAAGCCGAAGATGAGAAGTTCAAGACCACCCTACGTTACATAGCAAGTTTGAGCAGAGCCTGGGTTACATGAGACCCTGGCAAAAGGAAAGGTAAAGCAAACCTCACTTCCCCGATTGTACAGGGGTTAACTTAAATATATGAGACCTAATTTATGTGGTTTTGGGTACAAAAAACTAATGACATCTTCTCTAAGTCACAGGGGGAGAGGGGACAAGCAAGCAACAGCCACAAAATCGAACCGTTACAGAGGGGTGTGGCACAGCCTGTGGCCCCAGCACTTGGAAGGACGAAGTAGGAAGATTGTGATGTTTGAGACCCATTTGAGCTATAAAGCAAACAAGACTGTGTACAACCAAATAATAACAAATTTACAACAGCGCAGATCTACTTAGTATGTGCCAGGAACCGAGCAGGAGAGCCAGCCCCCTGTCGCAGACTACAGGAGTACCATCACTTCTGTCTGGGCTCGGAGAACTGTATTTGTATCAGCTTAATAATATGGGATGTCAACTTAGTGAAAAACAAACAACGACCACATTAATATGGGGGAGGGGCCAGGAGGAAGAAAACAACAAAGTAAAATGATAGGAGTATAAAAAATGCCACTGTAAAACCAGTAGTTTATATGCTGACCTAAAAAGACAAAAAAGACAACACAAAAGCACTGATTGTAGTTCCCTCAACTTTATGGTCCCCTCAGCACCATTGCTCAGAAATCATCAGTTCCCATCGCAGAGGAACTTGACGGGTTCTCACTTAAAGGGCTTGGATTTAAAGCTGCTTCTAATTTTATTGGCATTTGAGTCAATCATGTAAACTCCCCAAACCCGAGGAAACTAGGAAAAAATGCACCTGTGCCTGCGTGCGCATGCACACACGCACACATCCCCACATGCACACCACTCACATGTACACACACATACACACACATACTCACTTATGTATACACACATACATACTCACATGCACACACATACATACACACACATTCTCACACGCACACACACTCGCATGCACACACTCACTCACATGAACACACACACTCACATGCACACACTCACTCACATGAACACATGCTCACTCATATGCACACACACTCACTCACGTGCGCACACACACACACACACACACACACTCACACAGTTGCAATGAGAATCCAGTAAGATCATGGTGGGAATGTGTTAGAATTATCACATTGTGTTCTATAGCAAACCTGTGAATTATTTGGTCAGAGGAATGCAGACGAAAGGCAAGCGCTTTCTGCACAGGGACTGCAGCACTGGCCTGTGAAATGCTCTCTTCAGGGTTGATTCCCCATCTCCAGCTACTCTGTTCTTCCTACAGCGGTCAGAGGGGATGTTCTGGTCTCTTCTACACAAAAGCGCATAATGATTTCCGTGTTCAGCCATACGTGTGGTGTTCAACTTCTGGAATAGACCCTGAAAATCTTAAAAGAAAGACCTGAAAACAATAAAACATTGTTCAAAGGACCTAATTTAATAAAATTGGGAGTTCAGGAATGCCAACAGAGGGTGGACCGCCCAAGCTCTTAATGCCTCTTATCAGAACGGCTTTTACAGATCAAGCCTTGTCCAGATCTGGCTTTCAGACTCCAGAGGCTGGGGTGGGGGAGGGGACGGTGGTCAGCATTCCTGCCCTGACTTTACAATTTATAGCCATTGAACCTTCCTGAGACTTTTCGAGACCTCAAAGGCTTGTGCCTAGCCTCTGCCTGAAGAGGTGTCTGCTACGCAGGTGAGAGGGTTGCATCGGGCAGACTTACAGAATTTTCTGCCTCCTAACCGGTTTTTAATTCTCAGCCTCACTTTTCCCTTCCACGGCTTGTGAGTCATTTCTCTGTTTTTAGGCAGAGTGCCCAACACCTAATGGTTCCCAATTCCTCTTCCTTTTCAGGAAGTCCACATCTCGTCTGGGGCATATCCGTCAACTGGCTGAACTTTTCCCAGAAGAGCTGGTTTAAGAACTGGATGGAGCAGAGGCAGAGCCTCCCTGTAAAACCCCAGGCCTCAGAGTGGACATCTGTGCAGCTGTAGCTCAGATGACAGAGTGTTTTTCTAGCCTAGAATTTACCAAGTCCTTGTTTTGAGCCTTAGCTTCTATAAACCAGGACAGGCGGCACATACCCGCAGTCCCAGCACAGGAGGT